GACCGGTCGATGAGAGCGGAGGAGGAGGACTAAGGAAGGGGCAGAAGGAAACATATGATGTTGACCTGCATTTGCATCTAAGGGGTAAATCGACCAGCAGGTCCCAGGCCACGCCAGTGGGGATAGGGATCGGTTAAACGATGCCCAGTTTGCCTCCTCCTGCTGCTCCTCGAGCCGACGGTCGGGGGGCGCGTTGTCGGCGCGCGCCCCGCGGGCTCGGAGGAGCAATGCTTTGTGGTGCAGAGTGCCGCGAGTGTCGATCCTAGCCGCAGGGGAGAATATGGCGTTTTTTCTGCATATTTGCACGTGCGGGTTCCTTGACACGAGTTTCATTGATTGCCCCAAGTGCTCCGCAGCCACGCTCATAGCATAGTGCAACATGGCGCTGTAGCGCTGCATTTTTCCTGGCCCATAGCTTGGCGACAGATCACCGGTCGACCGGTCGATGAGAGCGGAGGAGGAGGAATAAGGAAGGGGCAGAAGGAAACATATGATGTTGACCTGCATTTGCATCTAAGGGGTAAATCGGCCAGCAGGGCCCACGCCACTCCAGTGGGGATAGGGATCGGTTAAACGATGCTCAGTTTGCCTCCTCCTGCTGCTCCTCGAGCCGACGGTCGGGGAGCGCGTTGTCGGCGCGCGCCCCGCGGGCTCGGAGGAGCAATGCTTTGTGGTGCAGAGTGCCGCGAGGGTCGCTCCTAGCCGCAGGGGAAAAATAAGTGCTCCGCAGCCACGCTCATAGCATAATGCACAATGGCGCTGTAGCGCTGTATTCTTCCTGGCCCATAGCTTGGCGACAGATCGCCGGTCGACCAGTTAAGCGCGCGCGAAGAGCATTCGTGGTTCTAGGGTCCCGGGGCCCCCAAAGTGCACTGATGTGTTTTCCGGCCGTTTCGGGCCCAGCGAAGGGCGCCAAAAAACATCAAAGGGGGCCGAGAGACGTTCAAGAGGGCGCCAAGATGGCCCAAGAGCGCTCCAAGAGAGCCCAAGACTGCACGAGAGCGTTTGAACATGTGTCCAAGAGGCCTCCAAGAGGGCCCAAGAGAGCTCCGAGAGACGTCCCGAGAGAGCCCGAAGAGGCCCAAATCATTGATGTGCATTGGTTTGTTCGATGATTTTCGCTTTCTCGCGTCCTCGAGCTTCCAATATTCGAAGAAGGTCGAAGACGCCCTCAAGACCGCCTCAAGACCGCCGAAGACGCCCCAAAAGACCGCCAAGACGGCTCCAGAGAACCTGCAAATTGCACACGAGGAGCCCCAGACGGCCCAAGAGGCCCCAGGATAGGCCCAAAATGGACCACAGAGCGGGAGCGGGAGGCCCCAGGGCGCTCGAATACGGCCCAGATGGCCTGGGCCTCCCCTTTCTGTCCCTCCTTCCCTCCCACCCCCTTCTCCATTACCTCCTCTCTCCTCTTCTTCCCCTCACCACTCAGTTTTCGTGCTTCTCCCTCCTCTCCTGGGACGGCCCCGCCAGAGCGCCAGACAGGCCCCGCCTGAGCGAGCGGGGCATCGCTATACCCTATCATTTCACAAGTTGCTTTGCCCGTCACACCCCTCAAGGGCGGCCCCGGCAGAGCGAGAGGGGTGTTGCTATAGCATATACAGTCCCTGTTACGTTTTGCTCTTCCCACCGCACCCGAAGTAGTTCCGTTAGAGCGCACGGGATGTGGTTATACCATAGTTTTCCTCAGGTTTCGTGCTCTTCCCTCCCCTCCTGGGCAAGCCCCGCCAGAGCGCCAGGGAAACCCCCGTTAGAGAGAGCAGGACATCCCTACACCATACTCTTTCACGCGGCTTTTGCTCCTCCCACCCTTGCAAGGCGGACCCGCCCGAGCGAGCGGGGTGTGGCTATACCATACAATAGTTTAGGTTTCGTGCCCCTCCCCCACCTCCTGAAAGGCCTCGCCAGAGCGCGAAGAAGGTACCGCCAGAGGCCCCGTCAGAGCTCCACGCAACCCCATATATGGGACTTGCCAGGCAAATCATTGAGCATCCCCCGTGACCCCGAGCCTTCTGTTCCCACGGGTGCGATTATCGCCGGCATGAGGTTTGGCGTCCAGCACAAAGAAGTTTCCCCACTCCCGTGGACGGACTCGACAGCAACTGATTGCAGAGAAGGGCACAGATGACGAGGGCATCTGCGCGCGCCCTCTGCAAATATCCGACAGCTGAACGACCGCTGTGAACGAGAAGCTTGGAGCACAAGGAAGAGGAAAATAACAACGCGCTCCCACGCGCACGCAACGAGGCCCCGAGCCAACCCCAACATCAGGAACCTTCAGATGTCTGCGTGATCGGGCATGGGGAGATTGAGCAGATTTGCGAAATCATTGAATGTTGCGACGGGGCAGAGCGGAAATGAAAGTGGAGAAACAAACGCAGTTCGATAAACCAAACGAAGGCGGCAGCGAGATTGTGAGGTGCGCGGGAACGTGGCGCCCCGCGTTCAGACTACGCGTTTTTTGCGTCTATGACATGGACCCGAGAACGCTGGAACTCGT